ATAAAATTTAAGTATAGAAAACTTTTTTCAGTAGGCTGACTACCTCAAAACTGATGCTGAATTCCGATTCTTCTCAGTACAGCGATTCTAACAAGCTAAATTCGTCAAAATTAAATTAGTAGATCAACAAAAAATTGATCTACAAAATCGCATTTAGTGGATTTGTTAGAGGAAAAAGACAATGATTGGTCGATTCAAACGGGTTTGTAATATAATCATAAGGATAGCTAGTATTTTTCTTTTTTCTTTGTATTTAGTTTTACTTTTTGTATCTCTTTTATAAGATAATAAAGTTACTGGCAGTGCCACATTGTAAAAAAAAAAAAAAAAAAAAAAAAAAAAAATTCAGAATTTAAATGATAAAAAAATAACTAACTTCTTTTATCTTATCTCATCAAAAAATCATCAAAAAGAAATTGTTAACATTTTAATTAAAACTTTTATTCTTTGTAATATTATTTTTTCAATATTAAAAACTTATTTTTATTGAATTATTAAAAGCATTATGTGTAGAATATAATCCCTCGTATAAAAAATAACTTTCATATAAACTTATTGAATAAGAAACTATAAGAATTAATATCAAAATCTTAAAATTTTTTGATAATACTGTTATAAGATTTTCATTAGACAAGAAAATATAGCATAATAAATAATCAACATATTTCACAAAATTGATTTACTGAATGATCTGTAAGATTATTTGCATATTGTCAAAATAGAAATTTTACTCTTATTCCTTAAATGACAATAATTTTCATTCTTATTAATTAAATCTAAATCTTCTGTTTCTTTTATCAAAAACTTGTTTAATATTACCCATAATGCAAAACAGACAATTTATACAGAGTTTCTGACCTTAGAGAATTCACATCCTATAGGTATCTCAAGAAGCTTGAATTTTTGAACTGGCAATGCACGTTTATATTTATTTATAATTTCTTTATAAAATAATAGGAAAATTATGACTAATAAACTAAAATATATAGCGTAATGTAGAGTATCACATTAAATCCTAGATGAAAGATACAAAGAAAGAAAAAAGTTTATGTTTATTATTGATTTTTTTATTAAATTTTAGTTCGTTATTAATATTAGAACTATTTATATTTTGAGACTGCTATAATCTTCATTTTTATATCAATAAAAACCATCTTATTTATAATAATTCTGCATTACTATTTCTAATGATTATAAACTATTTAATTTTAAATAAAAATAATAAATTTAAGAAATATAATAAATACAATTATTATAACAAATATAATAAAGATAATAAGAATAACAAAAATAATACATATAATAAAAATAATAAATATAATAAGTATAATAAAAATAATAAATATAATAATAATTATTAAAATAATAAAAATAAGCATGATAATAGTAATTAAGCTTATCAAATAGATCTGGTAAATCCTAAGAATCCTAGAAATCCTATGAATCTTAGAAATCAGGTAAATCAGAAATTATGCTGATCCTCTAATTTTATGATTAACATAAAATTAATTACTTATTTTGGAATTAAATAAGCAAATCATTGATGACTTTTTGGGTGAAAATTTACTATTTTCTTTTTCTTTTTTCTTTTTTTTTTAAAAAATACACTTTGATAAATTAATTGAAGGTGTAATTTTTTAATTTTACTTTATTTTTATATATATTGCAAAGTATTTCTTTTTAAGAAATTTAAATTTAATAATTATGTAAAATAATAAAAATTTAAATTTAATAAATTTAAATTTGTTATATTAGTTCTGATTTGCAATTTTTGGTTGATTTTAGGTGGTTGAATTAGGTTGAATTTTGACAAATTATGTTTGATTTGTATCTAATTTATGGTTGATTTGTGATTAATTTATGATTGATTTAAATGGTTGAATTAGAATGATTTTTAGCTGAATTATATCTGAATTGTAACTGAATTTAGATTAATTTTAAGCTTAATTTTTAGGTTAAATTGTGTCTGAATTGTTATATCTGAATTGATCCTATTGGCGCTGAATTGTACCAATAGGAATTAGACCAAATTTATTACAATTTAACCATAATTAAGACATAATTCAGCCTAAATTTAAACACAATTCAGATATCTGATTTTTGGCTGAATTGTATCATTTCAACCAGAATATATTTAAATTCTTTAGTTATATTTAAATTATTTTATTTCTAAATAACCTAATCTATAAAATATGACTAAAAAATATAATTATATTATTTTATATTATTTAATCATAATCAGCAATTTATTAAATTATATATTATTTTATTTTATTAAATTTAATTTTTAAAAATTTAATTAAACTATTTATTATAATTTTATTTTAATTATTTAATAAAATATATTATGTTTAAGGTTATCTAAACTTATTTTGAATTTGATTAAATGTCTAAATCTTTAGTTTTACTAGTTTTTAATAAGATTTTGATGTAATGTTATTATAAGTTTTAATATAATTTACCTTTTTTTTTAAAATTTTGCAGATTTTATTATAATTTAACCAAGTTTTACTTATAATTTAAATATATGATTTAACTTTAGATTTCATTTAAAAATCTTAATTGTATTAAATAAAATCTAATAAAATATTATTAAATTAATTTTTAATAAAATACAGTAAGTTTAATTATTCTTTTTAATAAGATAATTTTTTTAATATATTATAATTAAATATGAACTTTAAAAACATTTAATAATAATATATTTATTTTTTTAAATTTAGTAATTTAATTTTTTGATTATTTTTTTGATATTTTACATAAACAATTTAATAATATTTGGAACTAAACAAAATTTAAATTTTTTATAATAATTCTAAAAATTATAAAATATTTTAAACTGTATTTGGATAATTTAAATAGTTTGAAGTAGAAAGTTATAAAATTACAAAAAAGTTTAAATTTTATTTTATATGCTAAATATGTTTTTTTTTAATAAAATATCATTTAATTCAAAATATAAAAATCTGTAACTAATTGTATTTAAAAGTTTGCAATTAGTTATAGTTTTTTTATTATATATAAAAAAATTTTTTTTTAAATAAGTTAATATAAATGTAATAATTTTATTAATATTAAATTAATATAAGGTTTTGAAAATTTTAATATTAACTTAATGTTAAATGAGATAATACCAAATTTATTTAATATTAAAAAAAATATAATAGATTATTTTTTTTATGTTAAATTTTAATGTAAATAATAAATTTATATAAAGTAAAATTCTGATATAATACTATTTTTAATTCAAATAATTGATTAGAATCAGCTAATTATATAAAAGTTCTATAAATACTATATCAATTTTTTTTGTTAAAAATTTATTATTTACTTAATAGTATATTAGTATAAAAAAGATTTCTTTTTTATATGATTAAATATAAAAACAAATTTTAAATATAATATTTGATCACAAAAATCTTCATAAAGATAATAAAGTCTATCATGAGAATGAAATAGAAATTAAAGAAATGAATAGGATTTCAAATTTTTTGAAATTTATGTTAGATAAATCAAATTTATCTGAAATAAAAATATTTTCAAAAATATATAATTGTTTTAAGTATTATATTTAGATATAATACATTTTCTAAAATTTTCATTTTTTTCCTTCAAAAATGTGAATGAAATACCATGTTCTAGGTACTTTAGTCCAGTAATGGCAAATTATAAGATCATTTGACTTGAAATTTAATGATAATAAGGTTATTTAAGGTCATTTCAAGGTCATTTCAAGGTCTTTTGCCAACCTTGCTTTAGTCAACTGTTCACGGTATTTTGTAAATATGTTTTTATAAAATTAAAATTAATAATTTGTTTGGCATGCTAGCATCGATAACCATGAGTACTTCTCAATTTCTCCAAATAATTTTTTATATTCTGGTATTTCAGTATTCCATTAATGCGTCATAGCAAATGTGTCTGCATTAGGTTTTGTTACTTTATTTGTAATTCATGTGGCCGTTTATCCAATTAATATATATAAATTTTTTTATTGATAATTTCAAATAATTTTGATATACTTTTTTTATATTACAAAGATACTTTTTACACTTCGCACTATATAATAATTCATACATAAATAAATATATATATATATTAATTTATTACTTTATTTTTAACTTAATCTGGTAATGTTTTTTGATACTAAAACCTGATTAAAACAAGATTCGAAGAAAATAAAAAAATTATTTTATTTTATTTTATTTTACAGTACATTGTAATATAAAATCTTTTTTTTAAAAAAAAATGCATTTTTATATTATTATTGTAAAAATCAACACGCGAAAAGTGCAAAAAAATTATTAAAAAAATAACTACAAACAAAATGATTTTTAAAGTAAAATATAATATTAAACTAAAACTTTTTTATGTAGTTTTCTCCTCTCCTATTTCAGAGAATTACAACACATTTGATAAATTAACATTAATCAACATTTTGCATATTTAAATTATAATCGACCTTTTATTTAAATGTGTATAAATAAATTATTACTTTAACAAAAGGTAAATATTTTATTGCAATATATTTTATAAAATATACAGAGTATAAGAAATAAAGAAATATCACGTAGTTGAAAAATGTTTATAAAAGACAATTGCAGTTGCCAAACTTTTTTTTTTTGCCATCAAAATTCTGAAAAATCAAAAAAAAAAAATTATCAAAATTCTCAAAATCCAAGAAATTTACATTTTTATTTATAATGTCCAAAATCCATATTATGTTAAGAAGGCAGTGTAGGAGAAGAAAAGAATATCAAAAGAATCGTGATACTCTGATGCGCATCGCTTCCTTACCAGCGCAACCGCCTACGAACAATTCACTGATAGATGCGTTTTATAATGGTTCCATAAATATTTTTGGGAATCATCAATAAATAATAAAATTTAAATCCCCTCCTCTCTCCTCTCCTTACCCTCACTTCACTACACTACACCATCTAAGAAAGAAATGATAAAAAATCTATGAAAGAGCTCTCTTAAACGAATGGAAAGAAATACTACAAGATTTCTTCGAGATTATTGAAGCTGGTCACTGCTAATGAGCGATTCCTAACGATGTAATAACCGCAGGTCACTGTCAATAAGCCTACACCTAAGTATCGAAAGACTCCCTTTCGGTATGATGAAGTTAAAGGTTTGGCATACGGTGCGACCATTCTCTGACGAAGAATCGATCGGGTACACGGAGCTAGATCTTTTTGATCTTTTGTTGAATGATTTTCT